TAATAATTCACAAAATAACTCGATCGATCTTCAATTATTGTTAAACGACTTAGTTTATACTTAATAATTCACAAAATAACTCGATCGATCTTCAATTATTGTTAAACGACTTAGTTTATACTTAATAATTCACAAAATAACTCGATCGATCTTCAATTATTGTTAAACGACTTAGTTTATACTTAATAATTCACAAAATAACTCGATCGATCTTCAATTATTGTTAAACGACTTAGTTTATACTTAATAATTCACAAAATAACTCGATCGATCTTCAATTATTGTTAAACGACTTAGTTTATACTTAATAATTCACAAAATAACTCGATCGATCTTCAATTATTGTTAAACGACTTAGTTTATACTTAATAATTCACAAAATAACTCGATCGATCTTCAATTATTGTTAAACGACTTAGTTTATACTTAATAATTCACAAAATAACTCGATCGATCTTCAATTATTGTTAAACGACTTAGTTTATACTTAATAATTCACAAAATAACTCGATCGATCTTCAATTATTGTTAAACGACTTAGTTTATACTTAATAATTCACAAAATAACTCGATCGATCTTCAATTATTGTTAAACGACTTAGTTTATACTTAATAATTCACAAAATAACTCGATCGATCTTCAATTATTGTTAAACGACTTAGTTTATACTTAATAATTCACAAAATAACTCGATCGATCTTCAATTATTGTTAAACGACTTAGTTTATACTTAATAATTCACAAAATAACTCGATCGATCTTCAATTATTGTTAAACGACTTAGTTTATACTTAATAATTCACAAAATAACTCGATCGATCTTCAATTATTGTTAAACGACTTAGTTTATACTTAATAATTCACAAAATAACTCGATCGATCTTCAATTATTGTTAAACGACTTAGTTTATACTTAATAATTCACAAAATAACTCGATCGATCTTCAATTATTGTTAAACGACTTAGTTTATACTTAATAATTCACAAAATAACTCGATCGATCTTCAATTATTGTTAAACGACTTAGTTTATACTTAATAATCCACAAAATAACTCGATCAATCATTAATTTTTACTAAGCAACTTAGTTTATACTTAAGAATTTACAAAATAACTCGATTGATCTTTAATTTTTACTAAACGACTTAGTTTATACTAATAATTCACAAAATAACTCTATCGATCTTCAATTATTGTTAAATGTTGCATGGTAATAATGTCCAAGAAAAGCTCCACAATGAAAATTTTTACGGGCATTTTCACCAAGATGCCTCGTGCAACATCCATGGTATGCTTCAGAGTAAAATTTTGATAGTGTTTTTTCTATGCTTGGATGCCTATCAGAAATAATGCACAACTCTGAAGTATCAGGGACTATGTCCAACAATTTCTCAAAAAAGTACTCATAGGCGGCATCACATTCCTTATCTACTACACAAAATGCAACATGAAAAACATGATTTTTTGTATCCTGTGCGACAACCAACAACTTTTGAAGTTGTTGGTATACATCTAATAAAAATCTTAACTACATAATTGTTTGAACTAATCATAGCATCTGTAAATACATGTTATGCATACGATAATAACTCATGAAACTACACCATTACTTGTTCCTACAACTTCATTCGATCTAGTAGGACATGAAGTTTTTTTGTGGCCAAATCTTTTACATAGAGAGCATTTATTTCTTTTCTTTGAAACCACTTCTCCTATAGTAGGTACTCGTTTCAGCCGCTTCCTTCCCAGTTTAGTTTTTTTTTCAGGTGGAGGTATTACTCTCTCTAAAATTTCCAACTGCTTTTCCAACATTTCCAGTAACTAATCTTGCAGCCTAAATCTGCTTGCACTATAGATTGGATCTGCATATGCAAGTATATATGACTCTACCTTATAATACGGAGAAGAGTACTCATAAATAATCTTGCCATATTCATCTCCAAATTTGTGTCTGAGCGCAGCCATAGCAAGTTGACAGGGTATTTTATCCAAGTCAAACTCTCGACACGAACATATTTTACTTCGAAGATGGACCATTGCGATTCCATTGTCCGCGGTGACGCTGAAGGTGTCTTCATCAATTTGATGGACCAATAATTTATTTCCCAGACTCTTATTAGCCATTATTTTAGTTTCAGTTGAAGGAACGAAGGTGGTTTTTAACTTGGCATATGCCATTCTTCTCTCATGAAATTTTTCCGACCATCTCTTGCTTATATCATTGAACAAGGCAATAATGGGAAATTCTCTTGCTTCATTGAACATTGCATTAACAGACTCAGCAATATTTGAGGTCAATACATCATATCTGAAATATAAAAATTCAAAAATATCAAAAATTAAAATACAAACTATTGCAGATTTTTAATAACTATTGTAGTTTTGAAAACAACTGTTTTTAATGTCCCACAACTTCTGCAGTTGTTGAAACAACTATGAAAGTTGTCCAACAACTATAATAATTGTTCCAACGATTATAATAATTGTCCCAACAACTACAATAATTGTTCGAACAACTATACTAATTATTCCAACAACTACAACAATTGTTAGAGACCTGCAATATTTATGTTTGAACTAGTAAGAAAGTTTACCTGTTTCCTGGAAAATATGCTCTACTCCATTTGTGAAACCCAACATTCTCAAGATAATCAGCGACCTCCGCATTGATAATTCGGATTTGTTCAAAATGGTCATGGAACACATCTCTCCGATATGCTTTTGTTGCATGGTAATAATGTCCAAGAAAAGCTCCACAATGAAAATTTTTACGGGCATTTTCACCAAGATGCCTCGTGCAACATCCATGGTATGCTTCAGAGTAAAATTTTGATAGTGTTTTTTCTATGCTTGGATGCCTATCAGAAATAATGCACAACTCTGAAGTATCAGGGACTATGTCCAACAATTTCTCAAAAAAGTACTCATATGCGGCATCACATTCCTTATCTACTACACAAAATGCAACAGGAAAAACATGATTTTCTGTATCCTGTGCGACAGCAGACAACAAAACTCCATCGTAACTACCTCTTAAGAATGTTCCATCAACGGCTAAAACTTTTCTCATATGCACAAACCCCCTAATCCAAGCTCCATAAGATGCAAAAAAATATTTGAACCTTCCCTTGTCATCAAGCTTTAACGATGTCTTGCTTCCTTCATTTATAGTCATAAGCATATGACGATAACCATCTAGAACTGCATATCCGTGCTCCGGTGTCCCTCTTATCATAGCCTTTGCTATCTCACTGCTTTTCCAACATTTCCAGTAACTAATCTTGCAGCCCAAATCTGCTTGCACTATATTTTTTATGTCTTTTGTGGAGGGACCTTTTCCATTCAAGTAATTAGGTTGTATGTATTCTGCAATGACATCTGCTGAGGCATGTGGATGATGACTTGTAAGGTGTTGTGCCCCACATGAGTGAATGTTGCGATACTTTGTAATTTCAAATCTATTACAACTTTTAAGTTTTGTAGCTCGCAACCACCAATCACAATTCTGATCTACACATCTAGCACAATACACATCTTTAGAACTCTTCACAGATTTGAATCTTTGATCTTTCTTCACGGAAGCAAGCTTCAACAATTTAGTTAATTCTTGCTTGTCCTTGAAAATTTTACCCTTATAAAAATATGTGCCGTCATCATCTGTGTAGCGGCTACCTTGTGTTGATATCGAATGTAGTGAAGCTTCCTCATTTATAGGAATATCCATTGTAACAGGATGCTCTTCATCATTTACAACTGAATTTGTAGTCTCTATAATCTTCTCAACCACAGATATCCTTAAAATTGGCCTACTTTGATCATCCAAAAAAAATCTCAAATCAAGATCGTTTCTTATCCTAGAAGGAGCTCCTTTTTGCTTTTCAATAAAGCCAAGCATGTAACTAATAGAGAGATCATTTTTATCACAATCTAATTCAAACCTAGAAACAATGATGTCAACCAATTCATCGTACGTAACATTCTCGCTTATCTTTATCGGTACTGTCTCTCGGCCCTTCGAACGCCAAGTATAACGAGTAGGATTCTCCACCCATTCACCATGTAAATCAACTCCTATTATTATATGGTCTTCCATAGAGGGAAACAATACCTGGAGACATCACAAGTAAGACATTCATCAAAGAACTGCAAAATTGCAAAAGAACATTGATTACTTGTTTTACATCTATTTAGTTACCTCACAACTATCAACAATTGGCATAAAAGTTTAGTAGCTTTGGAGACTGCTATAATTCTTCAATTATTTATTTCAACAATTAATACTTTGCCCACAATTATATTACTTGTCCTAAAAACTAATCCGTTGACCAACAACTGAACACAACTGTCAAACAACTGCAGTAGTTGTTGGGACAACTTCTATAATCGTCCGATAGCTACAGACTGTTGTTAGACAATTTCTATATCTGACAGAGATGTTTATTTATTTCTACAAACAACTTCAGCAGTTGTCCAGACAACTACGAAAGTTGTTGGCTGAAATAATCAAATTAGATTTAATAAACCTAGCTGAAGAATGGACACAAAGTAATTTTTATACTTATCAATAATTCTCTTTTGAGTTAATTTCAAGATCAAACGGAACCAATGCAGTGCAAAAAGTTCAAAAATTTTTGGTATCCATTTTCACAAAATTTTCTTGTTAGATCTTCTCATAAACCACATATATGCTTACAAATTAAGAATGATGAGGATGAAGAAAAAGAAGAAGAAGGGAATTGAGAAGCATACTTCAGCCTCGTTGAAGACTTGGTAGTTGTCCTTCAGGCTCGTTGTTGAAGACGCTGCAGGTGAGAAAAAAGTACCGCCTTTTTTCTTCTCATATATTTTAGTGAAATTTTAGGTATTTTGAGGTAAAAAATATAGGGTAAAAGTGTAAAAGTTAAAAGTTTGGGGCTGTTGAGGAAAGATTTTTTAATTTCATTAATATTAATTATATATTTGTCACTTCTACCTAATATTTAAAACTTGGAGGACTCCTACCTAATTAACAAACTACTTTGTCACTTTTAATACACTATCCCGGCTGAAAAAGTGGTGTGGGGAAGAAGATGGATTCTTTTCTTTTTTAATTTTTTTATTATATAATTTTAATAATTTAAAATTTAAAGTTTAAAATATGATGTTCACTCGCTTTAAATGCGTGTAGTCACACTCTCTCACCAACTCAGCTATTTTAATGCCACATAAGCATGATCAATGGTCAGAGGGATTTAATTTATTGTATTTTATTTAATTTAGGGGTTCAGTTGATAAAATGTTAAGTAGAAGGATCCACAATACAAACTCATACAAGTATAAGGGTTAACGAGACCCTTTTGCCTCTACTAATTAATCTAACATAATACTCCCTCATTTTAGATTTACTTGTCAAATTTTTCTATTTTTACTTGTCATTTTTGACAAACCAAGAAAGTACAATTTTTTTCCTTCCTATTAGGTCCTCAATTTATTAACTTTGAATTAATATATTTTTTTAAATATATTGAGTAAATATGTTTGGAACCTATCAATTACTAAGTGTAAAATAATAAATTCATTATATTAATTATTATTTTATTAATAGATATGTCAAATCATAATTGAATAAGTAATCGGAACGAAGTGAAATATAAAAGAATATTTTAAAAAGATTATATGATAGAGGATAATATCAATGATAATGGCGGTCGAAATATGTGGTAACCAACATTGATGGTGTCAAATAAAAGTAGTCTTTCTGTTCCAATTTACTTGGTTATTAAGAAAAGAATAATTAATATAGTAAATTTACTATTTTATTCCTATTAATTGATAGAATATTAAAATCAATTTACTCATTAAAGAGAGGTTCTACCTTTTTCAAAAATATTAACTCTCTAAATAAATTGAGAGTGTAATATGTAAAAAAAATATTCACTTTGTCTCTAATTACTTGTCCACTTTTGAATTGACACACATAATAAGAAAATAATGATTGATATAGGGAGTTTACTATTGTATCCATAATAATTATGTAGTTAATGAATTAAAAACTTAAGATTTTCAAGAAATTCTACATTTTCCAAAGTAATTAATTGAGGGTATAATAGGTAAAAAAATTTGTTCTTTCTTGATTTGTCAAAATTGGCAAGAAATTAGGGACAACTAAAAAAAGAAAAATGGACAAGTAATTAGAGACAAAGGGAGTATTATCTTATCTTGAAAAATGACAAATAAAAAGGGACAAGTAAAATGTCAAAATTGGACAAGTTAAAGAGGACAGAGGGAGTAGTAAACAGATTGATAGTGAGTGTTAGTGATGACCGCTAATAATTATGATAGATAAATCATTCAAGTCGTAATTTAGTGGTCAATGAAGTGGTTGAGAATCATGAAGTTTCGAGTTTAATTTTTAAGTGGAGACAAAAAATATTTGGTAATTCTTCCTATTTAGGCTAGTCATAGTGGATAGAGTTACTTGATACCTGTTTGTTGATGAAAAGTGACATATATTGCGTGAAATTAGTCAAGATGCACGAAATCTAAAATTTGTTGGGTTCGAAAGTAATTGAGGCGTTATGCAGAAGCTTACAGTTGTAAATCATATGGTTGACAAATCAGACGACAAATAAAAACATACTAAAGATATATTATTAATATGATTTGGTCAAACGACTTACATATTGAAAACTGATATTAAAAAATAACATAACTATGTTTAGGAGAAAATCTTCCATATCCTATTGTGTTTTGATATGAGAATATGAATCTTCAATTTATTTATAGGATTCCATATTTTTTCTCTAAGGAAATAATAAACCAAATATGGAAGAAAAATATATTTTTCATTCATGAAAAGTAAAAAACATTTATGGTAATGTTTTCTCTTTTCTTTTAAGAAAAAATAAACTTCAAATTAAATAAAGTAAGAAAATCAGGTCAAAACCCTAACAAAACTACGATGGATAAAGACAAAAAAAATAAAAATTATCCAAATTGTACTCATGGCTCAAGTGTTCCAACCAACTTAAGAAACACATGAATGTTTTGTTAAACTAAATTCCAGTTTTGAGAGATGAAGAAAATTTGTTCTGCACTTTGGTTACAATTTTTTGTTGTAATTATAGTTGCTAAGAGAATACCAACAACATTGGATGGACCATTTAAGCCACTAACTCATAGATTTGATCCTTTATTGCATAAAGGAAGTGATGATTTGCCAATGGATCATTCAAGGCTTAAGAGGAATGTAACTTCATTTTTTCCAGAACAAATTGCTCTTGCTTTGTCAACTTCTTCATCTTCAATGTGGATTTCTTGGATCACTGGTATATCATCTTGTTACTCTTCTATATTTTGTGTTTTTTTGAAGAAAAATATTGGGTGTGGGGGTAAGGGCTTACTTGTAAGGTAAAATGAAAAACTGAAAGTTCAGTTAGTCAATCAACTGAGTTATTGAGATTTCCCTTTTATGTTTAATTTTGTTTCTTTGAGTAGCTACATTTTTGAAGAAAAATAATGTCTAACTCCTAAATCTTGTTCACATCACTTAATTGCTAGTGGGCAGTGGCAGATCCAGTGTTTTAAGCTAGTAATTTTTGCTCATATCATGTATACTTATTATTCCTTTCAAACAAATTTGTTTGAATTATTTGATTTTGCACGAAGTTTAAGAAAGTATTAGTGTGGAAAGTTAAAATTAAAGAGTTACAAAAAAGGTAAAGAGACAATCTTTTTTGAAGTGATTAAAAAGGAAAGTCGGACAAACAAATTAAGATCAAGAAAGTAAAATAACTTGAGATTACTAATTTGCTATAGGACCTTATAAACTTCAAAATCATAGGGGAATATTCCCAGATCAAGGAACAATGTATACAAATTCGAATAGTATCTTAGGGGAATATTCCAAGATCAAGGAATTGTATACAATTCAGATATCACTATTTCACTTAGATGGATTTAATTGGTCAAATTTCAAAGTACTCAGGGGTCGTTTGATAGGGTGTATAAGAATAATACTAAATATAATGTATTAGTAATGTTTGTATTAGTTATGCTTGTACTAATTATGCAGAGATTATTTCTTATGCATTTGTTTGGTTTGGTGTGTTATAAATAACATGCATTGCATAATTTTTCAAAGGAATATATTTATTTACAAAGATACCCTCTACGGTGGAAAACATATTTTTTTTTTTTAAAGTTTCGAGGAGTAATTGGGTCTTTAACCATGCTAATTCATGCATTAAAGCCCCTTCATTACTAATAGGTGTTAGGTATATATTGATTGAAAAAGAATACTAAACAAGGTACTAGTAATACACAAAGCAAATACATGTATTATTTTATCTAATACACTCTGCCACACGACCCCTTAATGAGTTAACCTTTAATACATGTAATAGTGTTTATGCAATCTGGTTACTTAAAGTAAATTTAAGGTAAATGTTTTGCACTAAACATGTAAGAGGGTGGATAAACTGCTAGAACCTCGAGGTGAATTTTGAATCCGCTAAACCACTTAGCCAACCTCTAGTCTTGTGTTTAGGGGATTCAAAATCTGTATATTATTTCATGTAGATTTTTAGTTGTAGTATTTTGTTTTAGAACTATTTTGTTCCTGTTTGTTGTTTTTGTTACTATCTATTGTCTATTGTACTTTCATTATGCCTTTTCCAAGACTGATTTTGCCTTGAGTCGGGATGTATCGAAAACAGCCTCTCTACCTCAGCACTGAGGTAGAGATAAGGTTTGTGTACACTCTACCCTCCTCAGACCACACTAAGTGGAACTATACTAGGTATGTTGTTGTTGGGGTTCGGATGAACACCCTCGCCCCCTCCTAGATCCTCCCTGACTGGAGCATGTACACATTTTACACTGTCATTCCATTCAACTTAGATTTATTAATGTTTGTTGTATGGTTGCTTTTGGATTTTTGGTTCTGGAATGGTTGTATGCTATTTTCCTTTTATGTTGGTTTCCTTTGGTCAAGTTTTATTATATTCTTTCCATGGGTTTTAAGAGATCTTAGATCAAGATGTATACCAATTGCAATATAGGAATTGTGTTGAAGTTGTTATAAAGTAGTCTGTGATTGCTTTTAGGTGAAGCTCAGATTGGTCTAAATGTGACTCCACACGATCCGAAAACAGTGGCAAGTGAGGTATGGTATGGGAAGGAAAGTGGGAAGTACACAATGAAGCAAAATGGAGTTTCAGTTGTTTACAGTCAATTGTA